GAAAAAAGAAAAGAAAAGCAAAGAAATGAGAAATTGAAAAAAAAAAAAAACCTGTTTGAACTGCGGAGCTGATTTGTTTGAAAATCTCAGTGATCTTCGGACAGGGACAAGCGGTGTCTTGGCAACTCGGGGTTTTGTCTTCTTCATCTTTATGTTCATCAAATCCAATCAGAAAAAATGGGGTTTTCTCAAATAGCATACTATAGTGAGAGAGAGAGAGGGGGGAAGGGAGACAGAGACAGAGACATAGAGAGAGAGAGAGACAGAGAGTACCGGCGAGGGTTTACGAGAAGAAGCATTGAGGAGCGCTTGAGAGAGAAGAGGGATATGAAGTTCTTCCATTCTCTTCTTGTTCTCTTCCAATCTCTTCTGCCGCAAAGCCTCATACCTCGCTTCACACATCCCGATTGTTTTGTCACAATCCAACTCTGCAAATACTCTGCAAATGTTGATCTTGAGGGAAGAAGACGATAGCTGAACAGAGAAAATCAAATTTGTTTTCCTATTCCCACTTTTAACCTTAAAAGAGAGTGGCCCTTTATTTGTTTTCAAAATTTGACCGTTGGAATGACACTTATGCCCTTGCCATCAACTGTGGAGATCCGTGCCTACTGATTTTTATTATTATTATTGTTATTATTATTATTATTATTATTATTATTATTAATATAGTTGGTTTTTTATGATTTCGAAATTAATATGTTTATTAGTTTAGGGGGTGATTGTTTATGTTTTGAATAGTAAAAAATTTAGAATTTTTTAATTGTGGTTATGTAACACCCCGCCTTTTTATGAAAGTCAGAGTGCGCATTTTCGCAAATTTTCTAAATAAAATAAAATATTTCTTTTGCGAAATCTGATTCGAGGTGTTACCGTAAAATCTGACTTTTCTGAAAACCGTTAATTTTAAACTGATAATAAAAACGGTTATCTAATATATTAACCGACTAATGTCGGATCAAAAGCTGGTTTGTAAAAACTGAACAGTAGCGGAAATATCAGTGTAGCCAAAACATAAAATATACATATAAACAAATGTCCTGAACCGCTCGCCAGCTCACTCCTCGTCTCCGACTCTTTGACCTGAAAAACATGAATAATGTGGGGGCGTGAGCACTAAAACATTGTGCTCCGCAGAAACTCATATTAAAGTAAAACAGTGAATATAATAACAATATCATGATCCTGGCATATATAACTGAACTGATACTGAAACTGATAACTGATATATGATACCGGTACTGAATAATCTGATACTGATCTCGTGATATAAATCACCTGACTGATAACTGAACATCTGCCGGCATAGCCGGACACCATGTGCACACTCTAGTGGGCAGATTAAGGCCACTAGAACCCAGAATTGACTGACAACCATTCCGAGCGGATACTGATAATACATACCTCAAATATGGTAGCGTAATTATAATCAATGTAGTACTTAGTCTGAGTCCCCACCTGAACTGCTGATCTGAAAATGTAAGTGCTGATTGCCTGCAAAACTGACATATATAAACAAATACTAACTAATATGCTCAGACTGATTAAAATAGCTGTTAAGAAGCTCGACTCGATCTGAATAGTTAACTGGAACCATCTCGGGGTCTAACTTAACTGAT